AAAAAAAAAAAAAGAAATGACCATTCTTGTCCAGGCACCGTGGCTCAAACCTGTAATCCCAGCACTTTGAGAAGCTGAGGCTGGTGGATCACTTGAGGCTAGGAGTTAGAGACCAACCTGGCCAAGATGGTGAAACCGTCTCTACTAAAAATACAAAAAATAGCCGGGCATGGTGGCACATGCCTGTTATCTCAGCTATTTGGGAGGCTGAGGTATGAGAATCGCTTGAACCCAAGATGCGGAGGTTGCAGTGAGCTGGGTTGCGCCATGCACTCCAGCCTGGGTGACAAAGTGAGACTCTTAAAAAAAAAAAAAAAAAAGGCCTTGTATGAAATGATGGCAACAGAGGATAGCCTTCTCCTCCCCCCCCACCTTTTAATGTACTTATTGGCTAAAACAAAACGTCGTTGAGTCCTGAAATCCCAGACTGGGAGCCTTGGAACCAGAACCCCGGGCAAAGGCCAGATAGACGGGCTCTGCGCGTCTGCAATCCTGCGGTCAGCCGGCAGGGGGCAGGCGAGCTCCATGCGGCACCTGAGCTGAATCTGGCGAGCCAGTGCTGCGCTCCAAGAAGTGCGCTGCCCCGAGGGAGAGGGTCAGAGGAAGGACTCTGGACCCGCCCTAGGCTGGGGGTCTCGACAGATGACCACCCAGGTCCTAGTCCCAGCTCCCACCCAGCAGGTGGTGGACTGGGCACGCCTCCCCAGACCACATACTGCGTTTACACCAGCTCTAGTCCATCCCGCCAAGGGCAACTCACCTTCCCGGTCTTCTGGAAGGGGGCCCTGCGCGAAACCTTGCCTCCCACACCGGTTATGCAAAGATTAAGGAGCTCAGACTTGAGAGGGTTACACGGTTGTTATCACTAGATTATATGGATTTAGAAATAGGACTCAGGCTCCTGGGGAAGCCCGCTCTAGGACCCACAGGGTTGTAGCCGTAGTCTAGAATCACCTGTGGGGATGCGATTTGGTCTGGGGCAGGATCCAGGAACCTGCATTTTTCTTCCTGGTTGCCAAATTCTGATAAGGGGTGTGCTCAGACCATGCTTAAACAACATCCCTAGGTTCTGTTGCCCTTCCACAGGGCAGGCAGCATCAACAGCAACACTCTGTCCTGAGAGTGTGACCTGCCTAAAATTGGAGTGGAATAAGAGGCAGCCGGGGAGGGAGCAGTGCTGGCGGCTGTGCTGCAGATTTGCCCAACGTGTGTAGACAACCAAACACACCCACCAGAACCAAAGCAGACGTGCCCCTTGCTCTTCCATTTACCACGCAGGCTACACGGTTCATTTTGGTTTTTTGCCTTTATTTTTAAAAGATTTCTCTTTTGCTTCACACACAAAATCATCTCCCCAAGTCGGCAGGGCTTAGACAAACTGGATGAACTCTGCCACACTGTATCTTAGTGGTTGCTCCAGCCACACACTAAACCAGCGAGATGGCCCTTTTAGTCACATTCGTCTCCAACACAGCAAAGGACAAAACAGGGATGTGAAAGGACTGCCTATGAGCTCAGGATTTTGCCCTCAGGATGGGACTGAACTGGGGTTGGTGAGGAGCTAACCCCACCTGTGGAGACTGAAGCTGGGAACAGCACTTGGCTGCAGGCCAGGACCAAAAGCCAGGATAGGCGCCACTGGGCTGAGAGGCAAGAAAACCAGTTCCCTCTTACAGGAGCTCAGGAGTCTAACAACCCAGAGCCATTCCCTTCTCAGACCACCCTCTATCCAGACTCCTGTACAGTGGGGCCCCAGGCTGGAATTCTCAGAACACCCATTTTTGCCACCAGCAGATCTGGATTCTAGTTCCAGTTTAGACCTAAAGAAAGCCAAATTGTGTTGATCTTTTTAAAAACATAGGGGTGGTTTTCAGAAATTTGTAAGCTTCCTTCTGCTGTATGAACACTCTGGGCTCCCCGCTTCCTTGAAAACTCACTGGGAGATCTGGGAAAGGGAGGCTGAGACCTTTATCCTAAGGGCTGATTTTACCTTCCTGTCTCTCATGAAAGGACGGGCTGGAGGGCATGAATAGGGCCTGGGCCAGCCACTCTCCAAGGACACAAGCTGAATCCAGACAGGAAGCAGTGGCGAACGGATTGCTTCTCCCCAAAAACACTGGTTTAGAAGCAGAGGGTTTGCTTCGCAATGTATTTAATACAAATGGCAGCAGTCACTCTGCAGTTCTAACAAAATTAGCCATAGGGTGTCTGGAGAAAGGTACACAGGCAGCCTCAGCTGGAATCAGGCCAGCCCATTCAGGCATGCTCGGGTAGGGCCTGTGCCTGCTGCCCAGTCAGCTGTGGGTGGTCACATGGCCAGTACTGGACGGTGTCCATGGCAGGGCAGTGCACAAGGGCTCAGAGGTGCTCCTCAGGAGGAGCCAGTCTCCAATAGCACACAAAAGCATGCTGCCTTCTGCTCTGCCCCACTGCAGACTCTTAGCAGCACGTGTTCATTTATCTTTTTTGAGACAGTCTTGCTCTACGGCCCAAGCTGGAGTACCGTGGTGCCATCTTAGCTCATTGCAACCTCTGTCTCCTGGGTTCCAGCGATTCTCCTGCCTCAGCCTCCCGAGTAGCTGGGATTACAGGTGTGTACCACCATCCCCGGCTAAATTTTTGTATTTTTAGTAGAGACAGGATTTCACCACGTTGGCCAGGCTGGTCTCGAACTCCTGAGCTCAAGTGATCCACCTGCCTCGGCCTCCCAAAGTGTTGGGATTATAGGCATGTGCCACGGCACCGAGGCATCATTTTTAAATTTTAAATTATTATTATTATATTATTATTATTTTTTTTTTGAGACGGAGTTTCACTCATGTTACCCAGGCTGGAGTGCAATGGCGCGATCTCGGCTCACCGCAACCTCCGCCTCCTGGGTTCAGGCAATTCTCCTGCCTCAGCCTCCTGAGTAGCTGGGACTACAGGCATGCACCACCATGCCCAGCTGATTTTTTGTATTTTTAGTAGAGACGGGGTTTCACCGTGTTGACCAGGATGGTCTCGATCTCTTGACCTTGTGATCCACCCGACTCGGCCTCCCAAAGTGCTGGGATTACAGGCTTGAGCCACCGCGCCCGGCCTAAATTATTATTTTTTGAGATGGAGTCTCACTCTGTTGCCCAGGCTGGAGTGCAGTGGCACAATCTCAGCACACTGCAACCTCTGCCTCTCGGGCTCAAGCGATTCTCCTGCCTCAGCCTCCTGAGTCACTGCAATTACAGGTATGCGTCACCATGCCTAGCTAATTTTTTTTTTTGTATTTTTAGTAGAAATGGGGTTTCACCATATTGGCCAGACTGGACTCAAACTCCTGACGTTGTGATCCGCCTGCCTTGGCCTCCCAAAGTGCTGGGACTACAGGCATGAGCCACCGCGCTCAGCCCATTTACTTTTATTTTTAGACACAGGGTCTCAATCTGTTGCCCAGGCTGGAGTACAGTGGCCCCATCATAGCTCACTATAGCCTTGAACTCCTACGTTCAAGTGATCTTCCCGCTTCGGTCTCCCAAAGTGCTGGGATCACAGGTGTGAGCCACCATGCCTGGCCAAGCACATGCGTTCACAAGCTAGGAGCTGATACCTTAGAAACTGGAAGAAACAAGGGCTAGGTTTTTTTTGTTTGTTTTGAGTTTCGCTCTCATCCTCCAGGCTGGAGTGCAATGGTGCAACGTTGGCTCACTGCAACCTCTGCCTCCTGGGTTCAAGCAATTCTCCTGCCTCAGCCTCCCAAAGTAGCTCGGATTACAGGTGTCTGCCACCACGCTCAGCTAATTTTGATGTATTTTTAGTTGAGACAGGGTTTTACCATGTTGGCCAGGCTGGTCTTGAACTCCTGACCTCAGGCGATCCACCCACCTTGGCCTTCCAAGTGATGGGATTATAGGCATGAGTCACTGTGCCTGGCTGAGCTAGGCTTTTTGTATTTTTTTTTCTCCCAGAAAACAGACTGCAAGTTAAGTATGGCTTATCCAAAATGCTTGGAACCAGAACTGTCTCCAATTTCAGGATTAGGGATATTCAACCTGTACCCAGTTCTAGAACATGGAGGGGGCCATGATTCTGCTGTGCTTGAGCAGAGAGATCTCCCTGTCAGAGGCCTCACCCAAGAGGAAGAGGTGGGTACCTGCATGCCCCTAGATGCCTACTCTGGGAGGTGGGATCGGAAGTTAGAGAGCAAGGGCACAGAGTCACCAAAGCCCATCCGAACAATCCCCCGACAATATGCTTCCTGCTGAGTCCATTTTAAATTACAGAACACTAGTCCTGGCACTGGCCTGGCTGTGAGGCCCATGTGCTTGGCAGCCGTTATGTAGAACGTTGTAGAATGCAACCTCATCCAGAGGCCAGAGGGTTGACGCAAGAAGAGCAGCTGGGCAGGAGGGCCTGCTGTGGCCAGGGTGGGAGAGCTGCCACATCTCTACTTCCCAAGAAAGGCCTCTAGGTGCAGGGAAAGGGGGTCTTGGGACTAGTCAAAGTCCGCATTGAAGGCTCTGCCGATGACCAGCCGCCTCACCTCACTGGTTCCAGCCCCTATCTCATACAGCTTGGCATCTCGAAGAAAGCGGCCCATGGGAAAGTCATTGATGTAGCCATTGCCACCTGCAACCAGGGTTTGGGCAGAGAAGGAAGGAAGTGACTGAGGGTGGGTGAAACAAAGACAGCAAACAGAAGGCCAAGTATATAGAACAGGCCACAGGAGAGACTGATTAAAGAGAAGCAGCAAAGGGAGCGAGAGGGAGGGGTTTGGGGAATACACTAGTCCCTCCTTATCTTTGGGGGATACATTCCAAGACCCCAGTGGATGCCTGAAACTGTGGACAGTACCAAACCCATATATATATATTTTCCCTATACATACATACTTATGAGAAAGTTTAATTTATGAGTTAGGCAAAGTAAGAGATTAACAATAATAATCCTAAAATAGAACTATTATAACCACATGCCAGCATCACTACTCTTGCAGTTTGGGGCCACTTAGTAAAATAAGGGTTACTTGGACACAGGCACAGTGTTACTGAGACGGCTGAATGGATACCCTAGGTGACTACCAACAGGCAGGCGGCCCACACAGCATGGATACGCTGCACAAAAGGATGACTCACTACCCAGCATGGCAGAGGAGCATGGCGCAACACTTATCACGCTTTTTAGGATGGTGTGGACTTTAAACTTATGAATTGTTTATTTCTAGGAACTTCCATTTAGCTTTCTTTCTTTCTTTCTTTTATTTTTGAGACGGAGTTTCGCTCTTGTTGCCCAGTCTGGAGTGCAACGGCACAATCTAGGCTTACCGCAACCTCTGCCTCATGGGTTCAAGTGATTCTCCTGTCTCACCCTCCCAAGTAGCTGGGACTACAGGCATGCTTCACCATGCCTGGCTAATTTTGTAATTTTGGTAGAGACAGGGTTTCTTCATGTTGGTCAGGCTGGTCTCGAACTCCTGACCTCATGTGATCTGCCCACCTCGGCCTCGCAGAGTGCTGGGATTACAGGCGAGAGTCACTGCGCCTGGCCTCCGGCTTTTTTTTTTGAGCCAGAGTGTCCCTCTTGTCACCCAGGCTGGAGTGCAATGGCACGATCTCCGGTCACTGCAACTTTCACCTCCTGGGTTCAAGCGATTCTTCAGCCTCAGCTTCTCAAGTAGCTGGGATTACAGGCGCCTGCCACTATCCGCGGCTAATTTTTTTTGTATTTTTAGTAGAGACAGGGTTTTAGCATATTGGCCAGGCTGGTCTCCAATTGCTGACCTCAGGTGATCCACCTGTCTCAGCCACCAAAGTGCTGGGATTATAGGTGTGAGCGACCGCATCCGGGCTTTTTGAGATGAAGTCTTGCTCTGTCACCCAGGCTGGAGTGCAATGGCGCAATCTCAGCTCACTGCAACCTCTGCCTCCCAGGTTCCAGTGATTCTCCTGCCTCAGCCTCCCAAGTAGCTGGGACTACAGGCGTGCATCATCACGCCCAGTTAATTTTTGTATCTTTAGTACAGACGGGGTTTCACCATGTTGTCCAGGCTGGTCTCCAACTCCTGACCTCAGGTGATCCGCCTGCCTCAACTTCCAAAAGTGCTGGGATTACAGGTTTGAGTCACTTCGCCCAGCTCCATTTAGTATTTTTGGACCTTGGTTGACCACAGTAACCGAAACCATGGAAAGACAAGCCGAAGAAAAGAGGGGACTCCTGTGCCTTGCTGGGGGTAGGGTGGGTAAGAGGTTGTGGCTGAAAGGCCACCCAGAGTGTTGAGGATACCAAACAAAGAAATGGCAGAGCCACTGGCAGATATGGCAAGCAGGGACGAGAAGACGCTGGCGTAGCAGCTCAAGAATTCAAACCTCGGCTGCCCGGCTCAGGTCTGTGCTCTTAACCACTGCACAGCATGGAAACAAGGCTGGTCTACCTGAGACATCTCCCTTTCCCCATTTCCTGGTATCTATGAAACCGGGCAGGGAGGATGAGATGGGGGTGTTGCCGAAGGCAATAGCAACTCCTGGTTTCTAGCAGTTTTCTCATTAGCTTTCCATTTCTTTTTTTTTTTTTTTTTTTTTAGACAGAGTTTTGCTCTTGTTACCCAGGCTGGAGTGCATTGGCACTGTCTCGGCTCACTTCCGCCTCCTGGGTTCAGGCAATTCTCCTGCCTCAGCCTCCTGAGTAGCTGGGATTACAGGCATGCACCACCATGCCCAGCTAATTTTTTGTATTTTTAGTAGAGACGGGGTTTCACCATGTTGACCAGGATGGTCTGGATCTCTTGACCTTGTGATCCACCCGCCTCGGCCTCCCAAAGTGCTGCGATTACAGGCGTGAGCCACCGCGCCCGGCCAGCTTTCCATTTCTTCCTTTATAACTGGGACAGAAAGAGCCTAAAGGTGCCAGCTCAGCTGGGCCTAGCATAAGCACATAATGAGAAGTGGAGAGGCAACCGCTTTTTCTTTTTTTTTTTTTGAGATGGAGTCTCGCTCTTTCACCCAGGCTGGAGTGCAATGGTGTGATCTCGGCTCACTGCAACCTCCAGCTCCCAGAATTAAGTGATTTTCCTGCTTAAATTTTCCTCACCCTCCCAAGTAGCCAGGATTACAGGCATGCGCCATCATGCCCGGCTAATTTTTGTATTTTTATTAGAGATGGGATTTCTCCATGTTGGCCAGGCTGGTCTCAAACTCCTGACCTCAGGTGATCCACGTGCCTTGGCCTCCCAAAGTGCTAGGATTAGAGGCGTGAGCCACTGCGCCCACCCCAAAACCACTTTCTGAAGCAGCTACAGGCCCCAAGAGCAAGGGAGCCCTAGGAATGAGGAGTGGGGGCCACTCACCAAAACACTGAATGCCGTCCAGGGCTACCTGTGTGGCACACTCAGCTGAGTAAAGAATCACACCTGCACAGTCCTATGGGAGGAAGGTCGGGTCAGCAGGGGCCTTCGAGACACACAGACAGCAAGGCCCGCAGCCGGCCCACTCTCCCCCACTGAGCATGGCCCTCACCTTGGCAGTGCAGTGGCCCTCATCGCAGGCCTTGGCGACATTGTAGACATACTGCCGACACGCCATGAGGCGGGTGTACATGTCAGCCATCTTCCCCTGCATCAACTGGGCACAAAGGGAGGTCACAGGTCAACATGCTGGAACACTCTCCCAGTTACGAAAAGCAGGTCAGCAACGGCAATAAGACAGCCAAGGATGAGGAAGCAGGTGCATGGAGAGTAGATGGGATTTACCCAGGATGGCGGAGTTGGATAGCCAGATGTAGGAGTTAGAACGGCCAGAGAGTGGCTGTTCCACGGCCCACACTGAACCCTGCAGTGGCCATCACTGCTTCTGAAAGGCATGGCTCCCAAGGCACCATCTACTGCAATGCTTATTACCTTCCAGCAGCTTTTTCAGACCAGGTCTAACTGCAAATGGCAACCTCTTTCCCTTCTGCCCCCACAACCTGCATGCTTCACTCTCCAACCTCACAATGTCTAGTTCATTCACCTTACACAGGAATCGAGGTGGCAATGTGACAAACTTCCTGATGACTTCCAGAGCCCAGCTGCACACTGAGGAAAACTGCATTCCAAGCAGTCAAGCTGAATTTGCTAGAGAAGATAGTAAACATCCACGGTGCCCGCCCCACTTCCTGTCTCTTCAAAGAAAACTTTAGCCCAGTTGAAGAGCACATGTCAGCAAAAGCACTCGGCTCACCTGGAAGTGGCCAATCTTCTGGCCAAAGGCTTCCCTCACGTGCAGGTAGGGAATGGTGTGGTCCAGGACCGCTTGCATGAGCCTGCCAGAAAGGAGAAAGGCCCCATGAGCACCTCCTCATCCCACAACCAGGTACAGAGGCAAAACGCTAGTGTGGGAAGGCCAGAGTCCCAGGGAGGAGAAAAGCAGCTTCAGAAACTTGCCACAGTTATGGCCGTGACTGACCGCAGGTACAGGGGGTGTTAGAGCCCAGATGTTTCACAGCTGAGTAAGTCACCCCCTGCTCCTCAGGCCTTTTGTCTGTCACTTAATTAAATTTCCCTGCGGTGGGAAGAAATTAAACACGGGAGGAGGAGGTTCTTTTTGTCTCCCAGGAGAGTGCAGGGCCAGGAGATGGCTTCCTTTGGCCACCCAAGGGGAAGGCTGCTGCTGCTCATGGTGGGTCACCCACAAAGGAGGACAACAGAGCTCAGCTTCCCCCAAGCCTCACACTTACCCAAGAGGCCCCCCGGCCAGCACCAGCCGCTCCAGGTCCAGCCCACTCATCAGCACGTAGACTCCCTTATTCTGATGGCCCAGGATGTTGGCAGCTGCCAGAATAAATGCTGGTCAGAGGGAGAGAGCTGTGCACAGCCTCCTCACTTTTATAAAAGGTACTAGATTTGGAAACATGGCTCTCAAGTAAGGCAAATATGTCAACTGACCTTCAACTAAGGTTCCAGGTGAAAGAAAAGGATCAAGTGTACCCCTTCCAGTCAGAAGTGGAGCTGCCAGGACCCCCACCCCATCCACAAGGCCAGCCACAAAGCCCAGGGTTGTTAGATCTTTCCCTTCCCTCTCTGGACTCCCTTAGATGGGAAAGAAGAAAAGCTAATTGGTCTAGAAGTCGCCCATCCCCTCCCTGACTCTTTCTACACAGGCACCTATAAAGAAACCAGAGAGTTACTCTTTCCCCCAGGTAGAGTCAGCTCTGATCCAATGTCAGCTCCCTGCAGGGTAGTCCATGAAGCTTTTTTTCCAGGAGACAGGCCATTCAGAGCTAGTGACAGAAGCTGCTGAGCACCTCTCCACCCAGTAAGCCAGGACACAGGATGGTCTTGGAGGTGTGGGCAGGAAAATGAGTTGACACCACTGACCTGTCTTTAATGCTCGCTGAATTTTTCCCTCCAAAGAAGGAGCTGAACAGATCCCCTTCCCTGGATGCTCCTTATAATTAAAGCACATTTTTCTGGGCTGTCAGATTATGGGTGTTAGGCATAGTATATGGCTGAGGAAGAAAGCTAACGTGATCAAATCCATGCCCCCGGCCAGGCGTGGTGTCTCACACCTGTAATCCTGGCACTTTGGGAGGCCAAGACGAGTGGATCACCTGAGGTCAGGAGTTCAACAGCAGCCTGGCCAACACGGTGAAACCCTGTCTCTACAAAAAATACAAAATTAGCTAAGCGTGGTGGCATGTGCCTATAATCCCAGCTACTCGGGAGGCTGAGACAGGAGAATCATTTGAACCCGGGAGGTGGAGGTTGCACTCCAGCCTGGGCAACAAGAGTGAAACTCCATCTCAATAAAAGAAAATTGGCTGGGCAGGGTGGTGTGTGCCTGTATTCCCAGCTACTTGGGAGGCTGAGGTAGGAGAATCGTTGGAATCCAGGAGGTGGAGGCTGCAGTGAGCCAACCTCACGCCACTGTACTCTAGCCTGGGTGACAGGGTGAGACTCCTCAAAACAAAAAAAACCCTAAACAACAAATCCATGTCCCTGGTCTGGTTAGCACATGATAGCTGCACTGGTTCTCCCACAGCGCTCTACCACGTCACACTTCAGTTCCTCGGGAGAGAAAATACTCACACCCAAACAGAACTGCCTTCTCTTCACTAAGTGTGACTTCCACCAGTGGATTCAGTTGTGTTTTTATAGCATCATTAATACTGAAAATGAATAACTCATTTAAAAAGCTTTTTTACAAAAATATGAGTTGATGAGTTACATGCAGCAGACAGGCAAAAGTAGAGAAAGACTGAAGCACATCAGTGGGAAAGGATAGGTCTGACCCCTCTCCTCCGGCTACTGTATACAGACCTCACGCGGAGTGTGCCATGCCGGTGAGGAATGCTACTGCAGGGATCTGGCCAGGAAGGAGCGCTGTCCAGCAGCCCCAGCCCAGCGCCACAGTGCCAAGCCTCTCTAACCCAGAGGCTTTCTCAACTTGAGAACAGCCACATCAGCCTGGAAGGGGGTCAGGAGAGGGGCTCCCCAGTTCTCGGTGCTACCTACCAGGAACCTTGCAGTCTTCAAAGATGAGCTCACAGGTGTTAGAGCCCCTCATCCCCAGCTTGTCCAGCTTCTTAGAGGTACTAAAGCCAGGCATACCCTTTACAGGAAACAAAGAGTGGTCCTGGTTACAGATTAGCCCCAAGGGAGCCTGGTAAAGTAAAGAACCTCTGGGTAGAAGGCACCCACCTTCCTATCATGTCCCTGTACCTGCATGGCATGGCAGCATCCCAGTTCCACGCTCCCCCCAGGACCTTCCGGTGCTACTAACACCCCAGACTGATCCCAGCCTCCTCTGCTGCTAGCTTGCGTTCTCCCCACTTCTCACGGGGACAGTTCTTTCTCAATCATATGCTCAATTCCCTGAGCCCTCCTGACCCCACTGGGCCTTGTTTCCCTCCCCCAGGGGACATTATTTTCAAGACACTCTCACCAGCCCAGTCAATTCCCTTATCTTCTGTTGTTCTCCTGTCTGTACCCAAAGGGATCCCACCGGGGCTGAACTGAATCACGTCTGTGCTTTGACCTGGACTACTGGGTTGCAGCGTGTTGGCGCCCAGCAGAGTGCTGGCACACGCTGCCCTTCACCTGTAATGAGGGTACCCTTCACCCTGTAATGTAGGCAGCGTTATGCAACCTTGAGATTTCCAACTTTGGCCGGGCACGGTGGCTCACATCTGTAATCCTGGCACTTTGGGAGGCTGAGGCACTACTGAAAATACAAAAGATTAGCTGGGTATGGTGGCGGGTGACTGTAATCCCAGCTACTTGGGAGGCTGAGGCAGGAGAATTGCATAAACCTGGGAGGCAGAGGTTGCAGTGAGCCAAGATTTCACCATTGTACTCCAGCCCCGGCGACAGTTTGAGACTTCGATTCAAAAAAGAAAAAAAAAAGAGATTTCCAATCTCAGCCAGGTCCCTACTGCTCCAACCCTAGACAGCTACTTTCCCCCCCTCTCTATGGAGGGTACCACAGGCCTTTACAATATTTTCTCAAGAAACTCTCTGCCAGCTCCCCCACCCCCGTGACCCTAGCCTTCTCAGGGCCCCGGCTTCCTCCTCCTGATTGTTAGGCAGGTGGTGCCCGCACCATCACCTGTAACCCATCCTTATCTCTCCTGCTCCTGCTTACCATTGTGTTCTGTGAACTCTTTCCCACACATCTCAATTCTTACCTCCGTTTTCCTTTTTCTTTCCTTTTTTTTCTCCTTCTGACAAAAGATTTGCTGTTTTTTAATTCCTAAAAACAAACCCAAACTCCCAACTTCTCCTCTGAACTCCTGCTGTGCTTCCTTCCCACTTCTGCTGTCAAGGCTGCCGAAGATGCAGTCTCCGCTTGCATCCCCCGCACACCTGTCTCCCGTGGCCACGCTCACCAGGTCCACCAGTGGTACCCTGACTGTCACATCCTGACCTCCTTTCAGTCCTCCCCTTCCTATACCTCTCTGTGTGGCCTGGCGCTGAGGATGGCTCCACTGTCTTCAGAAGTGAGCCATCTGCCCTGGACTCCCTGGACTTTTTGGTCACCCTCCTTACAGTCTGCTCTCTGCCTCACCCCATCTCTGGGGACCTTGCAGAACACACAACATTGATCGCATTTGAGATCAGTGGAAGGGGCCATCTCTGGTACCACTGTCAAGAGGCAGAAGCCTCCCTGGCCCTGCACCCACCTGTACTCACCTTCTCCACAATGAAGGCCGTGATGCCCCGAGAAGCCGGCACAGCAGCCAGATCTGTCTTGGCATAGACAATCAGGACGTCAGCATCAGGGCCATTAGTGATCCAGAACTTGTTGCCATTCAGGATGTAGTGATCTCCTAAGGGCAGGAAGTTGGCTATTTGCTCAAGCCATCTTGGCCTGTCTCAGCCAGGCCATAGACCTTCTGTTGCACCAGAAGCTGTCCAGCTCTGAAAAATTCTGGAAACCCAGCAGGGACCACCCCAGTTGTTGCTCCCTCGCCCTGATGTCTGTACCTCTGCCCATTTTGGCTCCCAAGTCAAGAGTGACCTTACCTTTCTTTTCTGCTTTGAGCTTCATAGAGACAACGTCAGAGCCTGCATTGGGCTCACTCATGGCCAGGGCTCCAATGTACTCACCACTGATCAGCTACAAGGAAAACCCCCAACAGACCTTGTTACAACCTTGGAGTACCCTAGAGCAGCTCACTGATACTGCTTCTTCCTGTCCACATTACACCCCTTCAAACTTCTCTCTCAGACCAAGGTATCAGTAAAGTCCTAGAATCTCTTCTAAGAAGCCTGATGACAAGGCTGAAATACCTCTCCTTTTTCCATTCCCTTTGCAAAGGAAGCTAGTCCTACTCTTCCATTTCTGTGTCCAATGTAAGAGTTCTGGTCCTATTTTTAAGATTTTTGGCTCAAGTATTTTAAAGCAATCCATGGCTCCTTCCTAACCACATTTGGTTCATGGCAGCATGCTACAGAAAGCAGGTCTGACTGGCCCCCACCAAGGGGAGAGGGTGTCTTCCAGCTGGCGGTTATACTGTGAGATTAGCATGTATTTAATTTCCATTTCCTCACCTTGGGAAGATACTTCTCTTTCTGGGCCTCATTCCCATTGCGCACAAGCTGATTGATGCAAAGGTTGGAGTGGGCACCGTAACTGAGCCCCACTGCTCCAGACGCTCGGGATATCTCCTCCATCACCAGCACATGCTCCAGGTAGCCCAGGCCAGAGCCGCCATAATGAACTGGGAGTGGTGTGGTAAAAGGGAGTGGAAAAGGCAGCCCAGATTAAATCGGGACATTTGTAAGAATCTTACATGTGTTGGTAGAAGGGAAACACCTTGTAGCATCTATTCCAAATTCCACTAGCAACATGAATAGGCTGATGGCACGAACCTGCTTACAAGCTCATTGGACTGGTTTTCCCTGCTGCTGCTGGTAGGCTGAGGGGTGGTTCAGAAGGCAATCATTGCAACTCTTGCTTTATCCCAGAGAGAACTCTTGATGTAGATACATGAGCAACTTGAGCACCCACTACTCACAAAGTTACAGAAATGCAGAGGCAGATGAATAAATGAAGAAAGAGGGCCTGGAGTTTAACAGAGGAAAAACAAAGGCATCGGGGTGGGGGTGGTGTCCAAAGCAGCAGGAACAGATAATACAAAGCCAGAGGATGTGATGTGTGTGCAAAAGGCTAAGGAAGGTGAGATTTTTTTTTTTTTTTGAGATGGAATTTCGCTCTGTTGCCCAGGCTGGAGTGCAATGGCACAGTCTTGGCTCACTGCAACCTCTGCCTCCTGTGTTTAAGTGATTCTCCTGCCTCAGCCTCCCAAATAGCTGGGATTACAGGCACCCTCCACCACGCCTGGCTAATTTTTGTATTTTTATTAGAGACGGTGTTTCACCATGTTGGCCAGGCTGGTCTCGAATTCCTGACCTCATTATCCACCCACCTCGACCTCCCAAAGTTCTGGGATTACAGGTGTGAGCCACCACGCCCAGCCAGGAAGGTGAGATTTTATAGCACAGGGCTGAACCCAAAGAAGCAGGACTGGTAACAAGACAGGAGAGCCACAGCCTCAGGGAAAATCCGAAGGTGGACTGTGCAGCAGACGGCAGATGAGATGCTGGCTGAGAATTTAAGAATTCCTCATAAAATATGTGTGTTTTCCTTGGCAGCACATCCAAACTCAAAGTGGCTGGGTCACCTGATACCACCCCCAACCCTGCTG